GTCCCCCCCCGGTGTCCCCTTCCCTCCTCAAAGCAGAGCAGCCAAAACCCCCCAAAAAATCCACCATAAACACTATTTTCCCAGCTTTTGTTTTTTGTTTTTTTGTTTTTATTTTTGTTTTTTTTGTTTGTTTGTTTGTTTGTTTTTTGGTTTTTTTTAAATATATATGTAATATATATATATTTCTATATATGTCTACATATATAGAGAGCATTTCTGAGCACACAAAAAAGTACTATAATTCATTACTTGATTAGCACGGAGGAAGGATCAGAGCATTTTAAAGCAGCTAAAAAAAAAATAAAAAATATAGAGGAGACTAACCTGCATAATTCTAATTTTACTCTGTGAGAGAGATTCCTGGGCAACAGGAAGGGCATTCCCATAGCAATGCCAGGCTTGTTAGAATCATGATGACTTATTTTTTATTTTTTATTCATTAGTTATTCTGTTACTTATTTATAATTCTTCTTGTTGTTGTTGTTGTTCTTTTTTTTTATTATTATTATTTAAATATTTGGATATTAGAAAAGTAGCTAAACTACATACAGCCAATTGAAGCACTCTGCATACTACTTGTACAGTACATCTTTTTGTGGTTTTATTCCAGAAATATATTATATATATTATATATATAGGTATTTTTAAAACTAACTGGAATTTTAAACAGGTGTTGAGCAGAAATAAGGAAGCTTAAGGCAAGTTTAGATGTTTTCCTTTGAAAAACAGGCAAAATAGGGTGGCAGGAACTTAGATATTCCTTCTTTCACCCCGGGGGAAAAAATCTCTTGCTCCACAGTGACCAGGATTGAATCCTCCAAAAGGCTGAGATTCCATTCAATTCAGTGGATAATTGACTATTTCTGGTGGTCCTTGGGAATATTCTGTGCTGCAGCATTAAAAAATCCCACCCAAACCCCCCCTTTGACAGGGAATTAATTGGTGGTTTCGCTCCGGCGTCGTGGCTGGATTGATGGGGATTCCCAGAGTTCTGCTCTTGGCTCTCATAAAAAATTAATGTCAGGATTTCTTGGGGACTGCTGGGCCCTGGTGGGGCACGGAGGGACTGTCCTCGTTCCCCTGGGATCTGCCCAGGGACAGGATCTCCCAGCACCTCTTCAGGAGTCAGGAATTCACGGGGAATTAACATTATTTTGAGTCTCATCAGCAAATTAAACCCACAACCCCCCAAGGGTGGAGAGGGAAGCACTTCCAGGCAGGAGGGGCTGAGCAGCCACGTGGATTTTGTCACCTGTCCCCTCAGCAGAGCCCCACCTCCATTCCCAGTTCAGCCCAGTTGGAGTTGGTTGATCCCCAGCTGCTCTTCCCGCTCCTTCCGCATCACCCGGATTTGCCTTTTGGCCTAAAAACCCCTCCCTTTCTCAGCCCTTCCAGGCAAAACCCAACAACCCTCAAGCAAAAAAAAAAACAAACCCCAACCCCTCAAGCAAAAAAACCCCAACCCCTCAAGCAGAAAACCCCAACCCCTCAAGCAAAACAAACCCCCTCAGCACTTCCCCCCATCCCAGGAAGGTTTTCCGTGTTTCCAGCGAGGGAGGAGCCGGGCTGCTCGTGAGGAGTTACCCCTCCATTAACGAGTTACCCTGCAATTAAGGAGTTCTAACTCTGCTCCTAATGAGTTATACTAGGTTTCTGTGTGCTTCCAGAAATCCGTGGGCTGCCATCCCGAGATTCCTGCCGACCCTGCGGAGCGGGATCGCGGTGGGAGATCTCTCTAATCCCGGTGTGTTCGCTCACGTTTTGTGCCATTTGTTGACCATTTGCACTAAAAATGTGTTGTTGTTTTTTTTTTTCTCCTTTGATCTCTTGGCTTTCCCCTGTCTTTTTTTGTTTTTTTTTCCCTCCCTCCCCACACACTCCAGAGGTTTTTTCCCCTCAAATCTCCTGAAAACATTTTGGGTTTTTTGGGGGGGCAGGATTTAAACCCGGTCAGTCGACTCTTGCTGGCTGCTCCTTTCAGATGGCTAATGCTTTTCCAATTTAAGGAGGAGATAAAAGGCAGCTCATCCTGAAAAAAAAACCACCCACAAAAACCAGGAGGAGGGATTTGGGCCCAAAGGTGACTGGGAGCCCTTTGCTGAAGGTGCTGGAAACGCTTCCCGCCGCTCCCGTAGCTCCGGGGGGGATCTCTGTGTCGCTCTCCCGTTGGAATGGCTCTCGTGCATGTGGAAATCCTTGTCTGTGATCTATTTTTTTAAAGCCAGAGTCACTTCAGAGTGTGAAGCATCCGAGCAGGAGCTGAGGTTCCTCCCAGGGGGGGCCGTGGATCCCACGCTCCCTCCCGGTTTTTTAACTCCCGTGTGTACATAAGAGCTCTTTTTGTTCCTTGGACCTGTAAGCAGACGTTGCAAACGGCCTTAATTTCGGACTGACACAGCTGTGGGAATTAGGGACCATCCACCTGAGAGAAATCCAGGTTTTGCTCCCTTTGTGTGGGCCTTTGGGAGAGGGAAGGAGCAGGAAGGAACATTGTGGGAATGCTGTGACAGAATGTGTTGGATCCCCTGTGGATCCCCAGGTTCAGGCAGGTAAAAGCTGCTTTTCATCCCAACTCTTTGAGATCCAGGGAAGGAATTCCAGCAGCTCCTGCCTTTCCCTTCCCCAAGGGGAACCTTCCCCCCCGAGGTTTCCTGACACACATCACGTAGGAGCTGCCCCAGAGGGGATTTTCCCCCCCTTCTCCCCTTAAAATTCTGTTTTCTGTGGCATCAGGCTGATCTGGAGCAACCCCAGATCTGGTGGGGTTGTCAGATGGAAACGTGGAGCGGATGCCAAGTGTTTCCAGAACAAATAATGGGATTTTTATTTCCAGTTTAGCAGTCCTGTTCTCATTTTAAACGGGGTGTGTGTGAGGGTCCCTTCCCACCAGGCACTGGTGGGAGCAGGAGGAGCAGCAGAAAGGGAAGAAAACCATCACTTAGCAAAAAAAAACCAAAAACCCAACCCAATATCAAGAAGAAAATAGTGTTATTGATATTATTGATAAGTTTTGAGTTCAATGCTGTTGAAACTGTCTGGTGTCTCAAAGGGTGACTGTCCAAACATCCCTGCTGAGTGAACCCCACCCTCCCTACATGTGTTTTTATATCTCTCTCTCTATCTATATATATATATAAATTAATTAAAAAATTCCCAAGCTAGACTGTTGCATTTGCCAATACAATGGGGAATAACAGGAATAAACCTTGGGCTTATCAAAAACTGTGATTTTTTTTTTTAATTTTTTTTTTTGTTTTGTTTTTTGTTGTTTTTTTTTTGCAGAAGCAAACCCCAGCCCTCGTGCTGGTTGGGTGGGGTTGGGGGGGAGGCTCTTTTTCCCTGTACATAGTTTTCCCCTCCGTGCTCCCCGCTGGCTCCCGCATGTGTGATCCGGGCCCGGCTCCCACACGGCTTCTGCATGGCAGGGAGCTCTTGCCAGCCCTCCTTCCCCCCTCCCAGTGCCACCCCTGCCCTGCACACACAGCCTCGGGCTGGCCTTTGTTCCCCACTTTTTATTTTGGGTTCAAAGAGGGGGGGGGAAAGGTTTCCAGAAAGAGGCTGATGAGAAATCGTTCGTTCTTTGTGTGGTTTTTTTGATTGAAATTTAGTGGCTTCAATTAACTGATTTTTAAGGAGCCCAGAAAGCTCATGGGTGAACCTGGAGCTCAGAGGAGGTTGGATTTGATGATCCTGCAGGTCTTTTCCAAGCTGGATTTGGTGATTCTTTCCCAACCTTGACTCAGTGATTATTTCCCACCCTTGATTCAAGGATTCTTTTCCAACCTGGATTCAATGATTCTTCTCCAACCTGGATTTGATGATTCTTTTCCAGCCTGAATTTGGTGATTCTTTTCCAACCTGGATTTGGTGATTCTTT